GTAGTTCTTTAGGAAATGTGATCTTTTAAAATATCCTCACCATTTTCAAGGTGAAAATAATATATTTTTAAAATTACAAATAGTATTCAATACTAACAAGCATCCATTTCTGTTTAAATATTTTATTGTAGGAAAAATATATTTCTTTTTTTCATTTGGATTTCTTTATTTTTTCACAATAAAATGGTATTTTCTTTATACTTTTGCAAAATTAGTAACATATGCTGCAAGGTTTCCTAGTGGCTAAGAGGTGACTTAAACCAGGTAGGATGTTTATCTCAGGACTAAGGTAGCTTGTCTGCTTTAGGCACTGAGGCCTAGTTCTGCCTACACACATTTGATCAGTTTCCTAGCTTCCATGGCTCTCAACATATCCATCTTTTTTTTTTTTTTGTCAGAGATATGTGTTCCATTTAAGTTACAGAGGCTATATTTGGAGAAGTCTTTAAAGGAACTTTTCATACTAATGGCAGTCCAAAGATTGTAGGTACTTGAATTTAGCAAAATAACCCAATATAGACCAAGAGTCCATAATGATAGTGAGTTATCAGCACATCTTCCAATTGTCAGAAGTTGGAGACTTGAGCCTTTTACAGCTCAGCATATTAATATAGCTTTATTTTTTATACCTCATGGTTCCACTTTCTGCTGGATGGTTAAGACCAAGATAAAGCAAGACCTATATAACTAAAAACGGAACTTGTGTTAAAAGGATAGCCAGTGTTTTTTTTTTCTTTAATTTTTATTTATTTATTTATTTGTGTGTGTGTGTGTGGCCAGCTCAGCCCACCAGGGGGCGGGGCTGGCGGGCATGTGGTGCTGGGGGCTTGAACCTTGGTCCCTGTGCTTTGCTGAGCTTGTTCTAAGTAGGTTCTTAGCCCTAGCCCTCCAAGGTCAGTGAGGACTCAGAACATAAGAGAACCTCTGCTGTGACATTGTTTCACTAAGTGGTGTCCCAAGTTTTTTGATCAAGGAGATTATAGGGCCGCAGAGGAAAGTGATGAACAGTGTATAATGTGCCTAAGGAGAGTCACCTAGAGAGAAAACATTCTCTCAGGCTTTCATAGAGAACAAATTGGTCAAGCAATGGCTGTGACTTATTCAGATGGCTGACAGTGACGAAAAGTCTACAAGGTGCTGAATGTGGTTCCAGGATTAATCCTGAGAGGATTTGACTGATCTTGTTGGAAGAAAGATATTTCTATAATATTATTATCAAAAATATCCAAACAAAATTGCTATCCACAATTGTGCACGTGAAGAAATACTGGGCTGATGGATTCATTAGTTCACTTGATTTAACTAGTAGGAAATGTAAACATCTAGAAGCATAGAACACTATACCTATGAATATACATGATTTTATCTGATAATTAAAGATAAAACTAAAATCATTTCAAGTCAAAACTTAGATTTTTTTTAAAGAGTAAAGCAATGAGTTATAATGCATATAGGTTAGGGTAAGAAATAAAAAGTCACCCTCCTTTCTGCGATTCAAGGCACAGACAATTGCTCCACCTTTCCCCTCCTCGAGATTATGTAAAGAAAACTCAATCTATAACTGACAAAATGCAATCTCCTTTGAATGTTATGCAATGAAGCTTCTTGAGGCTGTATATCAAAAGCATTTTCATTGATGAAGTTGTCAAGACAAGATTTCTTTGTTAGCATCAGAGGTATTTAGTGTTGCTCTGGAGTTTCCACATCATGGAATAAATATTCATCAAGGTAGGAGAGAAAAAGAACTGAGGAGACAATCATGCATGAATATCCTATTGAGAATAGGATTATTCAACTAAGAAATTAAACAATATTCTGGTACTGGCCCCAAACAAAAACAAAGAAAATGAGAAAATAGCAGATATCTGATATACAGTTGGTAAGTGAAAGTCCTTTGAAAAAATCATATATTGTACAGCAATGGCCTTAACAGAACATAGTAAGATGGCCAGGGAGATGGATCAGTAGAGTAAGTGCTTCCCTGGGAAGCGCAAGGGTCTGAATTCAATCCCTGGCTCCGCCAAAAAAAAAAAAAAAAAAAAAAGGAGTATGAAACAAGAAAAATATTTTATAAATGTTAATAGAAAAAAATTTTATCAATGTTGCCACTATACAAAACATTAAGAAAAAAATTTTATATCAATTACAAATATTACATAAGTGCTCTGAAATTTGGAAAATCTATGAAAGTAGTGAGATTGAGAACATAAAAGGAGCAGATTATTTAGAGCAAAAACGACTAATACATGGATTAATGTGATAGATTATTGAAAAGTTACTTATCGCGAGGGAGATGGCTTAGTAGAATAAACACTTCCCTGGCAAGCTCGTGGGCCTGAATTCAATCCCCAGTTCCACCAAAAAAAAAAAAAAAGAAAGAAAAAGAAAAAAAAAGTTATCTATCTGTCTATCTATATATCTATCTGTCTGTCTGTCTGTCTATATCTGTCTATCTGATAATCATTGTGGTCAAAAGATTTGCATTAAATTCATTAAATGTTAATTATTTATAGTGAAAAGTAAACTCTTGTGAAAATTAAAATTAAGTGAAAAACATATTTATAACAGAATAAATTTCAGAGATAGTAAATATTTTTATGATATGTAAGTAATACATAACACAGAAGTATTTTTAACATTATACAGTGAGACACACTGCTAAAACAAAAAACCATAATGCAAATCATGGATATTTTTTTCCAACCTGTAGGGTTATATCTGTTCCAAATAAACATGATTTTTAAAAAACTATTTACAACAAGCAAAAAATCCTAGCAAATCATTTATAGGATGCTTGATCAACATTATTTTCCTTTCCTTAATATGTAAAACATTAATCTAGAAATTGAAAGCCTTTCCAAAAACAAAGCAAAAAAAAACATGATATAGAGTAAGTCACCTAATAACATATTGTTAAGATAATATATGCAATATGATCAATACAAATGTTAATACAGAATGTACCCATACATCCACATGGTACCATTGGTTTAACTTCATGTTAGGCCAGTTATCCAATGTAGAGGTGAAGGAATTATTGCTTCCCCGAGTAGTGGGTTGAAAAGTTCCATTATTTTGTTTCAGTACTTAGTTTGACAGCATGCAGAAAACAAGTTAAATTTTATGTACATACATATATATTAAATTAAATTTTATATTATATTATTTGTATACTTTTTTAACACAGCTGTTGTACCGTTTAATATTCTTTAGCTTTAACCAGAGAGCATTGCTCTAAGTACCACATATCAACTGCCCTCCTTAAATGACAGGAGAGATTAATTAACAACTTGGAACATCCAAAATTGAGTGTGAATTGAATTACAATTGGAAGAAAGTATATACATTATTCATGCATAATAATTAGCATATATATGTTATGAAAGGAAAATAAGTTGATAAAAAACGAAGGCAAAATAATTCTACATTGACTGTGCCTATATTTATGTGGAGAAAGTCAAAATGCTATCAAGGCTACAGTATTATGGCCACTGTATTTGCATTATGATCATTTAAAATATTAAAATTAAATTTTCCACAAGAGGTTGTCTTAAAAGACATACATTTTATTTTCCAAAACTTCTTTCCTTTTCCTTTCTCATTTTATAGGATTCTAAACTCCGTCCTGAGACTCTTGTTCCTGGACAAAGAAACTCAGAAATGCAAGGGCATTCTTCTCAGTCACAGACGGAGCTCACAGAGCGTGAGTCTAGAGCAGGGCCCCCTGCAACAGCCGCCTGACCCTCTGAGCATACGTGAGGACAGCAGAGTAGGTAGGTCATTCTCTCCTCCTAGGAATACAAACAGATACTATATACCTGAACTAGCCTTGAAATCTGATAGTGCCTGATAGCTGGTCAGTTTCTCATCCCCCACTATACCCAGATGCTGTCTGATCACACTGGGCTCTCTTTAGTTAGGATCCTCCCGGGGGCATTACCTGGACTCCATCATGAGCCCCTCCTTGAGTGCAGTTTCTCAGTCAAAAAAAAATCTTTCTTATAATTGTCAAAGTGTGACATGAATAATTAATCTTCTCACACACTTTAGGAGATTTTTGAGCAGTTTTCTGAGTCATACACTCAAAACCATTGCTCATCTGTCACCAAAAAGCAGAAACAATAGCAAGAACAAGAATTAAAGCTTGCAATTTAGTGCATTTGTAAGGACACATAATTTAGAAAATGATGGAAGAAAAACACACATTCGGTGTGTGATGAGAAATGCCTATAATTCCAGCTGTTCACAAAATTTAAGTTGAGGAAGCCCGTCAGCCCAGAGGCTTCAGGTAGCACGATCATCACCAGATGTCCCTTTATCAAGAGCTATGTAAGCATAGGACAAGTGTCTAGGAATAAATAGAAGGGAAAGGCCCAAGTTGCTTACTCTGCTGCCCCTGCTCACAAATAAGGGCTAGTTTTAGAGACCATAATCCCAGCTGGTTAATGCAGAGGCCTGGATTTGCATATAAGAAAACTCTCCATCACCAAATCAAAAAGAATAAAACTAAATTTGCTAAGCTGGTGGTAAGTAATACATACATGATTACACAGAAGAAAAAAAGTAGAGAAAAAGTTACATCACCAGGTCTGCAGAATTGCCACTTGTGAAATTGCTATTCCAGTGCTGAGTAACCCCTTTCTGTGGTTCTGATTGGGAAGAGTCTAGGTAGAGATACTTTCTATGGGTTAGATTCCAAAGAGCTCCCACCAGGGAGCCCCTTAAAAGCAGCTGCTGAGATAAAAGCCGCAGTGTCACAACTTTATGCGTGACCAGAATCAGGGAGTCTGTAGCACCCAAGAACCTGCCAAATATCTGAAGAAACATTTTCATCTTCTACACATGTTAGAAAGAAACACTTTGGGATATGGTGAGGTGAACAATGAGTTTCTGCTCATATCAGAATGCCAGCCAAACATCCTGATGTGTAATCTTTAGAACAAGGCAGTGGTACTGTGTTATGACCAAGGAAGATCTTTCTGTATTAAATTTTATTTCTTCATATGGGTTGCTGCCACAGGAACACTGTGGGTCAGCTTCTTCCGTAAAAATCAGTCATTGTTCCACTGACATCTCCTTTTCTTTCAAAAGCACACATCATTTACTGGAATTCTCTGACACTTTGGAAAATTCATTAATCATGTTTGTAAATAAGTACAATACATATATGTTTGTAATTGAGCACATCTATGACAACTAATATTTTAGGAAATCGCCTGATAAGGTATTATCTGAATAGAGAAAGGAGACACAATCCAACTCAGAAATAACTGCATTGGTAGGGAAAAGTCTCACAGATGACTCATCCCTTACTCTGGGCCCAGTTTGCAATTCTAGGAGTCGTAGGACACCCTAAGGTTCATTTGAAATAATAACTGAGTATTTTACAGGAAGAAATTATTCCAACCAGAAGGGTCAATATCAGAAGACACTCTGCAAAAAATGCAAGGAAATTTATGCATACCTAGAGAAACACCAGCAAATCCTTGATAGTCTAAGGGGATATTAGGTAACAGCCACTTAGCACTTAGTTCAATCCAAGGGATCAATTGAGATGAAGAGCATCACTTAATGTCATGCAGTGATATCGAGGTAGGAGGAAGAACCTGAACCACGGTGGATGGTGAGGTCCTGCTCAGGTTCTATGAGTGAAAACAAGAAGATAGGAAAACAAATAAAAAGAATATCTTCTTTCCACATTCAGAAGTATAAAAAGTGGACCAGGAATACCTATAAACAGGCCTCTTGTACACGTGTGGATGGGCAGCGAGGCAGCAGTATAGAGAATTTTGATGAAGCTATCTATAGCCATTATCCATATCCATAGACATTCTTATCCTAATATCCACAAGAAAACAAATAAGTGAAGGAGAGACTTACTGAATGAAATAGAAGTCTGTAATAGGCTTTATATCAAGGACACCAGTATAGTAGATATAGTAATAAAGAGACAAGAAACACCCAATCACCACATCTCCATCCATCTGCACACTGGTGCTCCTGAGGTGAAGGCAGCCTTCATTTTCAAAAGTGCACACTAAGGCAGGAAGCTGCAGGAGAAGGAAGAAAACAATGAAGGGAAACATCTTAGATGCCTACTCAAAGCTTATGGCTGAGTGAAGAGGAAACTTGCAATCTGAGTCAAGTAAATAAATACCTTATATGTGTGATGTGATTCAACCTGACACTTTCTGACTCAGGTGGACCGTCTGATGCTCCATCGCCTTTCAACAGTGGCTGCTCCATGTCCCTGGAGAAGTTTGCCACCAATATCCTCAGGCCTGTAAATCTGAGGTCTTGCATCCAAGAGAAAAACAGAAGGAAGAAGTTGTGATTGAGTTGCATTTTCTCCAGAGGGAGCCACCATAATGCAGTTCTACTGATAGCAGTATCCCAGGGGCCACCTCTGCCTGGGCAGATTTGCTCTCAAGTCTTTGTCAATAAGCCACTAGCATGGATGACACTAGCGGAGTTGTTAATAGATTGCACTAGAGCATTTAATGCTAGGATTATGTTGAAATATTCTGAAAAGCCTCAAGCTTGGTCAAGAAATACTAAGCATTATTCTTTCCAAAGTGGGAGATAAAGAGCTATCATTTGACAGGCCCATGACCAAGAGTTACAGCCACAGGACATTCCTTGTATATCTGAATTCTCTGTGTACCAGTTACATGCTCTGAAACTCATAGCCACACTTAATTTCCAATGTCTGGGGTACAAATTGCACTATATTCTGGAAATCCAAACGAGTGACTGAAGATCTGTGCAGAGATACAATGCACTTTGGAGTTGTGTGACTTAGCATACTTCCCCAATGCTTGGTCCTTTCAAGTATCTTCATTCCATGATTCAAAATATTGTCAGAATTCATTTCTATTTCTACATCCTTGAATTCCACCATGATTTAGGCTTTTATGAGAACAGGAATCTGTGTGACAAATTTCTTTTTCCCTTACCTTGAAGCAAAGGAGTAAGGCTGAAAATGACTTCTGTATTTCCAATCACTGAAACTTTTGAAAAGTAGGGAAGTGTAGGAAACATTCATAGCCCTCAAACTCAGTGAAATTTGTAGTGTAGATAGATTATTCTAAGTAATAATTTATTAGTTGAATGCATGCCGTCTTGTATTTGTCAAAATCTAAATAACCAGTACAAGGGATGAGCCTCAATGCAAATTTTGACTTTATTATATAGGTCTAAGCAAAGGCTTATAAATTTGTATGTTTCTCATTCTGTAGGGGTTTAATGTTCAGAATATCCATGGTTGCTGGCAAACAGAAGTTCCGTGTTATGTGTAAGACATTTGATATTAAGACAGATAGTGATGTTAAGGTCAACAGTCTCTAATACGGGCAATAATATCATTAAGTTTCTCTACTTGATATTTAACATGTAAAGTTTGAAAACCAAAAATTAGCAACTAGAGGCACCACAAGGATAGTCAATTTTGCCCTAGCACTCCAAGTTCAGTGAGGACTCAGGACATAAGAGAACCTATGCTGTGCCATCCTATAACTCAGCGGTGTCCCAAATTTTCTGATCATGGAGATATGGAGCCACAGAAGAAAGTGATTGATGATCTATACTGTGCCTATGGAGAGTCACCTAGAAAGAAAAAAATTATCTGAGGCTTTCACAGAGAGCAAATTGTTTAAGCAATGTCTGTGACTCATATAGATGGCTGACACTGACAACAGACATACAAAGCACTATACATGCTTCCAGCCTAAATCCTAAGGGGATTTGACAGACCTTGTCAAATATAAAATTTACATTTTTAGTTAAGTAGGTTTTTCTTTAACTTAGTCTTTTTTTCCAGCAGTAAAGGATAACCATGAAAGATAAAGTTATGCCATATTAATATGCTGAGCTGTAAAAGGCTCAAGTCAGCAACTCCTGATAATTACCAGATCTGCTGATAACCCATTACTATCATGGACTATTGGACTATATTGGGTTATTTTGCTGAATTAAGTACCTGAAATCTTTAGACTTGTTTCAAGTATGAGAACATCTTGTAAACACTTCTCCAAATACAGCTTCTCTAACTGAAGTGGAAAACCCATCGCTGAAAAAGAAAAATGTTAAACGGGGCTATGTTGGGAGCCAAGCTAGAAAATTAATCAAATATGTGAAGGTGGGAGTTGGCAGAGTGCCTAAAACAAGCAAGCTACCTCACTCCTGAAATGAACATCCTGTCCGGTTAATGTTTTCAACCCAGTGTTATAACCCACTTCACAAAAGTGTAAATAAAGGACAGTTTTGTTATAAAAAAGGAGGTGGAAGAAAAAAAATATATATGAGAGTTAGGATACATATACAACTATTTTCTCTTAGTTCACCAAGAATAAAAGTTTGTACTAATATTTTTTTAGAAAATATATCATGTCTGCATCTTGTCCTCCCTATAACTACAATGGAGACAACAATATACAATGTATTATTATTGTATATGTCCTACTAACCTGCTTTGAAACTGTTTCATTGCTATTCTTTTTTTCTCTTTAAAATGAATACAAATTCTAATAAAAATAAATTGTCTTGTTACTTATAGGTGATCTGTTAAAGATGAAAAGAAATGTTGACATTTGTAAGGAAAAACTTTAAATATTAAGTGTGAATAGCTTTAGAAAAGTTTTATTTCCCAATTTTGAAGATGTTGGCCCAGTGTCCTTACTAGCATTTGAAATTCAGCTAGTCAAGATAAAGTTGGGCTGTAAGTGCAAAATTGTCAAAGAGTTTGAAAAAATTCTATGCTGTAATGAACTTATAATAATTTTATAATAACTGTAATGCTTCATACAATGTGTCAATAGGAGAAGTTTAGATGCTCAATTAGGTAATTCAGGAATTCCATATCCTGAATTGTAGAGAATATGCCCAAGCACGTAATGCCTGATTTATTGTGTCAACTTGAGAAGCTTAGTAGTGACCTGGAGGCATCCAGGATCCTCATTTTGTAACACTCCTGAGCATGTGCAAGAGCGTTGCATGGAAAGGGTGTGAACACTACAACTGACCTTGGTGGAGGTGTGTGCTTACAACCTAATTGGAAGAATGAGGCATGATTTCTCTTTTGTTCGTCCTGCTTTTAATTACTTTTTGACCTCTGTTATCTGCTGGCTTTGGAGCCAGATGATTATGGGTGAAAACCTCTAGAAAGCTGTGAGATAAGTAAAGCTGTCTTCCTTTAACTTTGGTTGTTGGGTATTTTTTGTCTTATGAATGAGAAAAATGTAATTAATAATTATATAACATGATATCAATATGCTGAGATGTAAAAGGCTCAAGTCAACAACTTCTGACATTGCCGGTTCTGCTCATAACTCACTACTACTGATATCATGACTGCATCTTGTACTCTGAAGAAATACTATGAAGACAACAATATGCAATGCATTAATTATTGTAACTATCCTACTAATGTATTTTGAAATCGTCTCAACTTCTTTCCAATTAAAACTAATAAAAGATGATATGTTGAATCTAATAGGTTTAATAAATTCTATAAAGACATTTTTAAATATAAATTTTATGTATCTGTTGACCTGGGTATTGTAAGTTGTATCCCACTAGAACATAAACATATTTGAGAATATTGAGTCCTCCACATAATTACATGACTTGTCAAACTCAAGCCTTATTCTCTAACTTGAGTTAGACTATTCTCTGGATTGAACTGTGTTTCAAGTGCAATGCAAGAGCCTGATGTCTGACATTTGTGAATGTGATGAAACAAAATAAATGGAATGGTTCTAGAAATTAAGATGAAGTTACTGTGAAATCAGTGTAGAGATCCCTAAATTTTAGGATTAGAGGTCCCACTCAACCTAGTTATTTCTCTCCTGTGTATTTTCCCAGAACTGAAAACATCATATTACAGCTATATATGTACACCCACAATTATAGCAGCAAAATTTACCATAGTCAAATCTTTCAAACAACACAAATGCCCATCAACTGAAGCCTGGAAAATATGTGCAAGCATCATATTGTCTTCCTAGCACAAGAACCTGAAAGAGTAAATAAAATCCAAAAGGTACAATAGATATTGTGAAAGGAAAAGAAAGTATTCAAAGGGATGGAACACTTGGGATAAGGTAAGGGAGAAAAAAAAGGAGGAAAGGAAAAAATATGTCTATACATAGGATAGCTTGGATAGTTGTACTGCTGATCACTACTCACCTATTAAAGCTAACAATTAATATTATTTTGTTCTTTTTAATGTTTAACCCATGTTAAATGCTTATATTTGGTAATCTGAGCTACTAATTTTTTTTCCAAAACTGGGGATTGAACTCAGGCCCTTGCACTTGCCAGGGAAGCGCTTATTCCACTGAGCCATCTCCCCAGCCCCTGAGCAACTAATTTGAAATGAACTATGTGAAATGTAACAACCACTGTTGAATTCTTCTCATTTTCTTTAATTAAATTCCATATAGTTTCTAAAGTTTTAACTTTTTACTAGTTTTTCCTCTTTTCTTGAATAGGGTTATTATGATAGATCCTGATCCAATATATTTCAACTCGTTTTCCTTAAGTGCAGACTATTCCTGGAGAAGCTGTAACATTCATTGTATATCTTCCTACTACCAATACACACAAGTATCACTGGAGAAAAAAAAAGAAAAAATATTTTAAACAAAAAGACCAAAATAAGGAGCAAAAAGTAATCTCAGACATCTAGCCCACCCAAAACAAATCCAGGAGACAGGAACATAGAAGAATTTGATGGTTACACAAATGAAATTTCAGAAATGATAGCAAATGAAATAAATAATAACTCCTTAAGGCTATGAGAAAATCAGATCAGAAATGATCTCTCAGTTAAAAATGAAATGACAATAGAAAAAGAATTGCTTAGCATACCTAGAGAAAACAGAACTAAAGAACAGAGAAACATAGAAAAGTGATGGAGAAGCTCAGTCCCAGCAAGTGTGGAGGTGAGGTTCTGGGCTTGCCTGCGCTGGTTGGATCTCCCCAAATCAAGCCCAGGCCAACCCTGTGAGACCTTCCATCATGTTCTCGGCGTACTTTCCACCGAGCTCTCTAAGAATCCCTCCACCACATACAAAATGACAAAGACAAAGAGCAAAATGCTATCTCAAGCCCAGATCCCACTCAAAACAAGTATAGATGACACTAATATAGAACAAATTGGGAATCAAGCAGCTGAGATGTCTGAAACAATAGCATCTGTAGAAAAGAAACAACTGCAGAGAGGTATAGAAGAACTCAGATCAGGA